TTGATAAAAATTATAATGTAATTAATTATATTTATTAAGATCTACATTTTATATATTAGAATCTTAATAATATATTAAAAATATTATAGTGTTAATCTAATAATTTTTATTTAAATTGTGAGGTTTTAACGGTTTTGTTTTGAATTTATAATATGTCATATTTCAAAAACGTATTATTTGGTCAAACACTTATAAGTTAATATACCCAAACCAACTAAAATTTTTACAAATTAATCAAATGTTTTTTTAGACATAGTATTGACATGATGATAAAATATTATTCATTCGCTTCTTTAAATCAAGAAGATAATTCTTTTATCATTTTCACTTTTATTCCAATTATATATGTTCTTTAAAAATAATAAAATTTAATATTTAATATTTTTTCTTCTCTTGTTTAACCAAAACAAACTTTTATTTTGATATATAAATTTTAAAAAAACTAATAAAGAAAATGTTTGCTTTGAGATTAATAACAACTTTAAATTTGAAACCAAAACAATAGTTAAATATAAAATGAATAAATCACTAAAAATTTATGAATTAAATATATTTGTATCTATTGGTTGTGTAAACTTTTAAATAATTTTTCAATGATTATATGTCATTTCTTCTAATAAGAATGAAATTGGTATTTTCATCATGTTCATTTTTGTTCTTGTTATATATAATTTTTCAATGAATATATTATATTTATTTAATTTAATAATTTTATATAATTATATTCAGTTTTCTCATATTCATTCTCAGTTCTCTTAATTATAATTAAGTATGCAAAACCGGTACAATTTAATACCTAAAATTTTTAAAAATAAAATAATAAATTGAACAACTCAAACTAAAAACTTCTACATTAATCCATTGCAAATCCAAGTCGAATATACAAAATGTAATTTTTCGATCATTTTCGCATAATATATTACATGAGATGATGTGGAAATATGTTTTGCATATGTGAAAAATATTTAGATGAATATATATTTTTTATAGATAATAAATTAAATTTGTAACTTAAACAGTGATAATGAAAATTTTAATATTTTTGTTTTTGGGATTCATTTCTATCTTTATCTTTGGTCTCTTTGTTACACAGATAGGTCGGGTTCTGTTTGTTTCGACTTGATCAATCAGACTTGGAGTTCTATAACTCTATCTTTCTGTTTATTTCATGTTTAATACACAAAACGTGTTCCGTCTCAGAGAGAGTTATAATGTGCAAATTATTGGCTTAGCCACTGTGTATTAGCTTCAGCTTTTTCTTGAGCGAAAGCTGAACGATGATGAAGAGTATGTGAAACATTGCATACAAGCCGGCGGAGTCTCAAACATTAAAGTATCACTGTTTCTGAACACAAAACCCAAAGGAGCATTTTTTGTTTAACACCTTAAACAAACATAGTTAGCTACAGCTATGATACGCAAAAGAAACCAGAATTATCAAACAACAACACTTATAAACTAAAACCTTGAGGAGAATGATAAATTGATGTTTGGAGAACTTTAGATATTTTGTGCCAAAAATTATTATCAAGTACTTCTTTATGCTGAAATTTTTTAAACTTATTAGCACTTCCAACGATTATAGCTATCACCTAACTATGATGTCATGGTGAATCTGCTTCAATGCATGAGTTATAAATATTATGTTTTTTCCACTATTCTAATATGATGGTTTTGTAGTGATGCCTCTATAATCATCAAAGAGAGAGAGAGAAAGAGAATAAAAATTGAATGTTTTTTCAGACGCCTAAGTAAATAGTTAGAATGATGAAAGACGTCATCTTGAAAAACCATTCATACATTACAATTTAGTTGTTTGGAAATCTGGATATAATTTTTATCATCATTAATTGCTATGCTATTCAACGTAGGCCTCAACCTACCTAAGTTCACAGGAAGTAGTCGATGATGAAACACTCAAAGTTACTTCTTGGTGTCCCTTGTGATTCAAGCTTGCTAATAATCCCTTGACCAATCTTTAGAGACAAAATTCCAATATTAAGTGACTATGCATCCAAAAGCTTATGATTTCTCCACAAAACACTATTGAAATTTTATGTATAAATTCATAGTATCCAGAATGTTCAAGCCATTTACCTTCTGATAATCTTGCCGAATTGAAAATTGATGAGACCAACCAATAATCACTAATGGTATATAATTACTGAAGATCAAAACTCCAACAACACTTTTAGAAAAGTTGTTTACCTATTAGCTACCAACCAAGTCGAATCTCAAAGCAAAAAATATTTCCACATAATTTCATGTAATATATTATGTGAAATGATCGAAAAAATTACATTTTGTATATTCGACTTGGAATTGCAATAGATTAATGTAGATCAAAACTATTGGTATATAATTGCAATTGATGAGACCAACCAAGAATCACTAATGGTATATAATTACTGAATATCAAAACTCCAACAACACTTTTCGAAAAGTTGTTTACCTATTAGCTACCAACCAAGTTGAATCTCAAATCAAAAAATATCTCCACATAATCTCATGTAATATATTATGTGAAATGATCGAAAAAATAATATTTTGTGTATTCGACTTGGAATTGCAATAGATTAATGTAGAAGTTCTTAGTTTTGAGTTAATTAATTTGTTAACTTTTTAGTTTTGACCAAATAATACGTTTTTGGATATGACATTTATAGATTCAAAACAAAACCGTTAAAACCTCACAATTGATATAAAAAGTATTAGATTAACACTATAATATTTTTAATATATTATTAAAACACTAATATATATAATTTATATCTTAATAAATATAATTGATTGAATATAATTTTTATCGACAAAATATCCACGCGTAGCGTGGACGCAAATCTAGTTATTAGAATAATATTTTATGTAGAATCTCTAATATCAGTTAATGTCTAATGTGGTTAACAGCATCTCTACAATTGCAGGAAATAATCATAAGTAATAACACTTACCTCTCAAAGCTTGCGTGGCAGGCAGCGATTTATGAAATACGGAGAAAGCATAATTGTAGGCTCCATCGAAACTTCCACACCCCCTGACTCGGTGATTCTGTAACTCTTTTTTTTTTTATAACTCAGGTAATCCGGCTGAACTAGGGGACTGCTGGCGGCACAGCTACGGATTGCAAATCCTGACTGTAGACCAGCGTATCATTCCCAACACCGACTAATCCTGGAGCCCGAAGAGACCATGTGAATGCCCCGGTAGCCAAATGGATTAAATGTTGCAATTTTGCTTCCATGGAGAGTTGATCTCTAGCCTAAACCAACAGGACAACTCTCAGCAAGGAAGGAAACCACCCTACTACTATCACTTGGTTGTGATTCTGCAGCTCTCTATCATCATCAAGAACAAAATCTCATCCTTCAGGACTGTGAACCTTGTTTTGGCGAGTGATTGCATGCAATATTGGTTCTCATTGCAGTAGTGTTGTTCTTTGTGTTCCGTCGTTGGAGATATCGATTGATCTTCCCCTTATGTTAGGGATTTCTAGGTCCTGCTTCTATTGCTGCTCTGGGCCTCTTGAATTTGGGCTGGACTCATTCATCCAAAATCATCTCTCATCCAGGATCTCTTCTCGGCCTTCGCCAGTTATCTCCCAGTTGGCATAATTTGCAACGGGTTTGGTTCTCCATGGTTCAATTTGGTTTTTAGATTATGAGTTTGTAACTATCGTTGGTTTGTTGTAACCTTGAGTCAGCACTTTTGATCCAGTTATATTAATGAAATAAAAGTGTTTTAAAAAATAAAAACCCATAATTTTCCTGTTTTTTTCTTAATATGGAAACAAATGTTTGAAAATTAAAATCTAATAAAACATGGAACTAAATTTAAGCAAAATTAAATAATTACCAAAAGATATAAATATTTGTGTTGACTAAAAAATATCGTAAAGGAAAACTAACGTCGATAAAACTTTTCGACACTTCATTTTTAAAACTCAAACTTGTAATTTTCAGAGATGAATTTCCAGAAATCTGATTCCGATTACAACTGAACAACATAAAGAATATATCAACTCTTTTTTATCAGTACTGTTTGTTCTGACGCGCGCGATAATAACTTCGAGGTAAGCAATTAAGTTTTTTTTAATATTTTTCAGGTTGATTATATAGTTGAAGAAAATTTTGTTCTAAAAGTAAAGAGAAAAATTATACTTTTTTATTTTATAAGTAAATTAGTTAAAAATCAATTGATTGTTTTATCGTTAATTAGAACAGGCAAAATATATGAGATCTGATTTGAGATCCGATCTGATCAAGGCTAAAAATAAGATATTTAAAGGTTATAAATCTGGATCTATGTATTTTGATTCAAAAATCAGCATATCTAGATCCGTTATATATATAATTTTCTGTATTTTTAATATGTTTATAACGAATATTATAAAATTAGTTTCGAAAGGTTTCTATGATATTTTTAAATTATTTTTGTATTATATACATGATTTTTATAGTAATTGATATTGTTCTTTTAAATTTTAGTTATTTTAGGCGGCTTTAGATTGGATATACGTAGATCCATATAATATTTGAAAATGTAGTGGTATTAGCAAATCGATTTGGATAGTTATTTTTAACTGAAATTTTATTTAAGAGATTGTTTTGTCTTTTTTGGCCAACATAAATTATTTTTTCTCAACACGATCTTTTTTTAAATACCACAACTGTTGAAAAACATTATAAAAATATTATGGAAAATGTTTTACAAGATTGGTTTCGAAAAGCTTAGGAACCATTATTAAAAGGTTTTCAGAACTTTTCTGAAAAAAACAAATATGTGAAGAGAAACAAATTGATAATGTATAACTAGAACGAGATTTAAGAAGTTTATGAAATCTTGAAATGAGAGAATACTTTACTTAGTGAAATGAAATTTTAGTGTTATGAAGTGAAATGAAACATTTTACTTATAAAATATACTAACAAAATTACTTCTTTTCAAATTCTTGAATTAGGCTCGCTTCCCGTTGATTCGCTGCTGACTGACTTCAAACGACGATGGTTGTAATCACTGAAACTTCCGACGACTTTAATGGCGGTGATCCAGGTCCAAACAAGAACTCGCGACAACTCCAGAATAAACGGAAAAAAGTCGAGGAAAATACTTCTTTCCACATTCCAGACGGAATTGCTGAAAAAATCTTCACACTTGTTAGGAGACGTGGTTACCCTGTTCTATCTCTCGTCTCCAAAACCTTTGATCGCATCATTACTCCGAGACTCTACGACTTGCGCTTGCGCCTTGGTAGTATCGAACCCGTTCTTTACGCTTGCGTGGGATCCACTCCTTTGCTCAGAGGCCCTAAGTGGTGTATCCTAATTAGGAAACCCTACGAAAACTTGCCGAACACGGTTTCTTTGCGGTTGCGAGAAATCCCCTCACTCCCTCCCATGCCTTGGGGATCTGCTGTGGTCACAATCGGGCACGAGATGTATGTGATTGGTGGATGCGTTGGCCTAAAATGCACAAATATTGTGTTTGTCATAGACTGCAGATTCCACACGTATCGCATCCTCCTGGGTATGCGAGTGGCTCGTTACCGCGCAGCAGCTGGAGTGTTTGACGGGAAGATATACGTGGCCGGAGGCTGTGACATGCGAGCTATTGATTGGATGGAAACATACGATCTAAAGGGTAAATTTTGGATGGGAAGCAGGTGGACAAATGGCATACCACCTAACGTGAGTAGCACGTTTGTGACATGTGTGGTTATGGAGAAAAAAATATACATATTGGGGGAAAGAATGTGTTATACTTACACTCCCGGAGGACAAGGAGGTTCATTGGACTACTTGATGCCAGGAGAATTTATGAGCTTTTTGTGGCAAGAGTCTTCTTGTGTGATTGATGGCTTGTTGTTTTCCACTAATCCTCAATGTGGGCTTGGTGTATCTCCAATAATCATTTTTGATCCAAAGCAGAAGACTTTGAGACCCTTGACTGGTTTACAAGGTTTTCCGGCTAATATCCTTCTCCACAGCTCTAAAATGGCGAATTTTGGTGGGAAGTTGGTGATTCTAGGAACCGATGAGTACTGGAATTTTTCGAATAAAGGAAAAAGAGAGATTTGGTGCGTAGAGATCGCTTTGGAAAGACGGCATGGAGGTGAGATTTCGGGGAAGGTCGAATCAGTAGCGGTTGTGTTAACAGTTCCAGAGTCTTCGGCTTATATTGACCTTTGTGGAACTGTTACCATTTGATGATACATGCATGAGATGGTTTCTTACAGGTATATTATATGCTTATGGTCATGGGTATGGACTTTTGATGATTAATTCAGATATTGTAGTTAGCCTCCAAAACTTACTTGTCGTTTCATTAACTTACAGGTGAAGGATCTTTATGAAGCAAAGTGGCTAAGAAGCTGTTATCTGACACCGTAACACTAAGCTCAGTGTTGAGTAGGCTAGCCGCCTTTATTTAATAATCTATTAAATTATTTGTGAAGTGAATTGAACTGTGGTTTAACGCACAATTTTTGATGTCGTTTTGATTAATGAAATCTTTATGTTTTGATTGGTCAGCTAATACTATATATTGATTGGCTGATAATAATTAATTATTATTATTATTTATATTGTTTTGGTGGAAGGTGTTAAATTAGACTTATACCATTAATGAAAATATTCTATTTTAATTGGTCTATTTTATTTAATTATTTTAATATTTTAAATTGATCAAAAATTGGATAAATAGCCCAAACCATGTGTTTGGTCCCAATTATATAATTACATAAATACTCTTAATTAATTTTTTTTCTATTCTGATTTGACAATTTTATTTAATTATTCTAATTTGCATGAAAAACAGCTTAAACACAGTTTTTAGTCAAACAATATAATAAATAATTAGCGACCGATTCATTAACACAAAAAAACACAAGCTCTGTTAGTTAGTGTCTTATATTCTTATCCCATGAGTAACAGGTTTGAATCCTGTAACTTATTTTAATTTTATCGTATTTTAGTTTTTTTCCAGATTTTTATGCTATTCGTTTTAGCAAATTTTTACTTGTTTATTTATTAAAAAAGAATTTTTATATCAAAAATGATTTTTTTTCAAAAATTAGGAAAAAATATTTTCCTTTTTGTTTACGTCAATCTTTTAGTAGTGGAATGATAAATCGTATCTATGATTATATGACTATTTGATTATAGAAAAATAACACAAACAAATTATCCTATGCAAAAATAAAGAAATAAACGCTTGTATCCTACCATACTTTTCATATAAATACTTTGTGTGGGTGCTCATATTCATTAGTTTATTTTTTTATACTTTTTTTAGGTTTAGGCGATTGGTTACTTTGTTCTTTTATTTTCTAAATTATTTTTGTGATATTTGATATGTTACTTTACTTGCATACTAATCTTACTACCTGTTCTTCTAGATGTGGTACTTTGAATCTATGAAAGCTTCATAGCATATCGTTAGGTAATTTCTCTTATGCTGTTATTTGACTACTTAATCGGTGTGTTTTTATTATTATTTTTAATCTGACGATTGTCTAATTCATTAACTTTAGCAATGCTTATTTGATGGTTCGATGTGTTCTTCAAGTTGTAAAATAAATAAAACCAATTTTTATATAATCAAAAAGGAAAATATTGATTGTATTGGTAATCACTAAGCATCATCACAAGAAAAACCTTAACCCTAATTTTTTTAGTATAAATATGTTGTGTCTCCTTTCTCTCATATTGGTTACTTTTTTTCTCTTTTTTTTTATTTTTTTCTTGACTCAAGCCAATTTATTTTCTTTACCTATTCTTTCTTTTAGAGTTTTGTACAATTTTTAATATATGGACTTATTTGCACTAATCTAACGGTGTATTTTTCTAGGTATGATATTTTGAATCCAACATGAGAGTAAAATTGTTGGCAGGCAGCAGAAAGTGTTATCGGTCAATTAGTTGAGTTTTCTCTATTTGTAATGTGTGTTTTTTTTCTAATTGTTTTGACATATCTAATCAGTTGATCGAGTCTTCGTCCTACCCAAAGTTCTATTTTTTTTGTTATTTGATTATATTCTTTTAGTTTGAAATGTTGAGTGTATGATTGTTTGATTGTTGCTGTAGTTTAAAATCTAACTTTGTAGTTATGTCGTTTTTTAGGTTGCAAAGAAACAAAGGATTGTAATTCCTAATAAAAAACAAGAAACATTCGGTAATATCTAGAAGTTTTATATTCAAAAATAAATAAATAAACGCCTAAATCGTATATAGTTTTCTATATAATTACTTTGAGTCACTGCTCATATTAGTTAGGTGCTTTTTAACGTTTTTGATCTATGGCTTGTTTCATGATATCAAATTATTTTGTTTTATATATGCCGTTTGTTTTTTTTTTTAAGTTTTTGTTTCGTACCTTTGCTTTAGGTTTAATTATTATAATATTGTTCTTTTTTTTTTTCTGTGTGAACTATATCTATTAATGTTCTTGATTGATTTCTTTAAAATTTTCTTGTTTTGTTGATAATGATGTGTTTTGCGTATTGTTGTTATCTTTTGGTTTTGTTATTGGACATCTTCGATCAACATGGTATGTTTCTAATTCTTTTGTTTGTTAATTTGTTTTGTCCGTCATGTGTATTCTTCCTTTTTGTGTTCTTTTGTTTGTTTGGTGAGTAAATTTGCAAGCAAATGTTTTGTAGGTCCACAATTTGCTCCAAGATTTTCCATAAATGATTCATGTATCTGTTTTTCTTTTTGTTGTTTTGTAATGGAAAAAAAGAGTACAAAGTTGGATCAAAAGTCCACTAAGTATCTGGGACTTGGATCACAACAAGAGTGTTTGAATTATACTCTTTTCCCTTTGAACTTGGTTGGTTGATGATGTTGCTAACGACTTCTTTAAGTCTTCAAGACTTGGCTCTGGTCATTAGGCTGTTTGCTACTTGCAATGCGTCCTCTGGTTAAGCTACAAGCTCCTTGTCTCCAAGCTCTGGTTCAAGTAAGCTTTCCATGATCACATCAGTCTTACCAACTTTTCTTGGCGTGTTCTGCCTGCTGCGAGACCGATTCTTGGTGCGTCCATTCGTCTCTAGTGTACGAGTTAGATCGGCGGTTCAGACGCGGTATGGGACTATGCTGAACCTCTGCTTTTCCTCCTCGCTCCTGCAAAAGGTCACTGTCACCTGACACACGTAAGCTAGATGCATAAATGCCAATCTCGTGGGTTTGTAAGGGTATGGGTAACTAAATCAGACTAAGATATATTCTTTTTTCTGAATAGAGGGAAATTTGAACAGTATTTTCATAAAAGGTCTACCCGTACCTGGCTCGGTTCCCTCGATACTGGGACCGGGCTGTCGAGAATGGATGAGTTCGCTCTCCGGATACCTATGCGAACCACACTTCTTTATATCCTGATCCTTCCGGATCACCAAGCTTAGGTCTAGGACATAGAGAATGTGGCATCTTCTCCTCCTAACCACTCAGTTTCCGACTTTCTTGTCTCGGACAGTGTGTCTTGCACTATCAGAAACGAGAAGTCTAGGAACAGGTGGCATATCGTGTCGGATCTCCCGAATCTGAATGAATTTGAGGCCTGGTGCTATAAGCTTAGGTCCAATACGTGTCCTAATTTGACTCAAGGGGTCGTACCTGCAAAAAAAGCCATGGACGCGTGCAAGCATGTGATTCGTCCACGTATGAAAGATTGAATTTATCCCCAACAGTATTGATATGATGATAAAATATTATATATCACTTCTTTAAATCAAGAAGATAATTTTTTTTCATCATTTTCACTTTCATTCCAATTATATATGTGTTCCTCTTTAAATACAATAAAAATAATAAAATTAAAAAATTAATCATTTTCTTTTCTTGTTTAACCAATACAAATTTTTATTTTGATCTATTAATTTGAAAAACAAACTAATAAACACAACACTTGGTTTGAGATTAATAACAACTTTAAAATTGAAACCAAAACACATAAAGTCACACAAAATATGTGAATTAAATATATTTTGTCAATGAGTTGTGTTAAATTTTAAATAATTTTCCAATTTGTATACCTCATTTCTTTGAATGATAAATGTTTTCATCATGTTCATTTTTATGTGATTTTTAGAGACATATAGTTGATCACACAAAAATAAAACATATTACATGAGATTATGTGAATCAAAATTAGCTACTTGATTTAAAGAAATGAATGTATAATGTTTTATTATCATGTCAATACTATGTTTTAAAAGTAACATTTGATTAATTTGTAAAAAAATTAGTAGATTTGGGTATATTAACTTATTAGTGTTTGACCAAATAATACATTTTTGAAATATAACATATTGTATATAGATTCAAAAAAAAATTGTTCAAACCTCATAATTTACTCAATTTTATAATTACATTTTACGGTATAAGATTAATATAATATTATATTTGATTCAAATTTATACATAATGGATCTTGTTAGATAGATAATGTTACTTTATAATTAAAAAAAATGATAACATATCTGTACATAATTGATTTAACATTTTAAATTATGAGGAATTTAAGTTATTACAATAAAATCTAAACATTATCTATCTAACAATTATGTGAAACATTATCTATAAGTTTTTTCACATAGGACACATGTATCACTTATCCAATCAGAAATAGATATGTAACACTTAAAAATCGATTCTTAAGAGTCTTAATTAAAGATCAGTTTTTAGTCTATTATATAATTTTGATTTATATTTATCCCAAAAAAAGGTTAAGAACCCTAGTTAAGAGTCTGCGTTCAACATGATTTAAAAGGGTCATATGACACCCTATAATTTCAGATATGAACAATTTTTGTGTATGAATACAATGAAAAAATCAGTAGTACTGGTGCTCATTATGGCCTATTGAACCCCTTAAACCCAAGTTCAAGTTTTTCTTTCAAACCAGATTAATAAACTGACACAGATTAAAAAAAAACTTTCTGGGTCGTTTGGAGGAAGAAAAAAGTAAAAACTAGTAACACAATGTAAAATTTCCCAAGTAATAAGACCGTAATGGAAATATAACAGTATTGGATGAAGACAAAAATTAGTAACACAATGTAAAATTTCCCAACTAAGTAAGCAACTAGACCGTAATGTTAATGTAGTGGACGAAGTTGACAAATCCGGACAATTAATTTCTACAAAACGTCCAAAATGTATATATACGTGCATGAATGAAGAAATATACCATTGTGTCTCAAAACCAAA